GCATTGGTCGCCAAACAAGGAACCCGGGTTCATTTGTGGCAGAGCATTCCCTGAAGTAAAGATGGAGAACAGGTGGGTCTTTTCGTGTTGGTTGTTTTTTTTCAGCTCTCCAAGCTCCAACACCCAAATCACTGAAATCAAATTAAATTGCTCCCTCCAGGAATCGAACCCGCAACCTGCTGCATTTAAAGCATAATGCATACCACTAGGCAATGTGAGCTGGGGCTACACTGAAACCCCCATTTGAAAAATCACTACCCAGATTGCACAACTTTCAAGAAACCTAGCCACCCTAATGGCGGCAATCCCATACACCTGGAAAACCATCTTGGGAAACCCTCTCTTAGAAGTGTTCAACACGTGGCTCAAAAGAGACGGGGACAGGAACTGTGTTTGGAAAGTTATCGGCCCCGATATCCCCTCGGGATACAGAGTCCAAAGGTGGTTAATTTCAGGAAACTCTTCAGGTGACCAAGTTTGCAGAGGAATTGAGGGTGCACCAGGATCCAGATTGGGATGATGCCTCTCAGTTCGACCAAAAGGGCAAAGAAATCTGTGTATTAGGGAGGTATGCAGACTCTTAGGCTGTGGAACCTTTTCTCCAAGGTTGGAAACCGCAAAGCAACAGGAATTCCTTTATCCCACTTTGAAATTCGCAATACAGGCCCAAAGCCGCTGTCTCAGCTCTAAGAGACGCAGCCAGAAGGAAACCGGCGGTAACAACGGCAACCAGATGGGCAGACAGACACCCCAACTTAATGACAGAGGATAAAGTGAACCTCCTATGGAAACAACTGAAAAAGCTTCCAGAACAGCGCATAGCTAGTCTCCTGTGGCTACAAGCTCTAGATGTAATACCGTCCGCTGAATGGCTGGCCTCTAAGCRGATGGTGGTATCCAGGGCCTGTGCCAGATGCCGATGGGCCTGGGAAACTTCAATCCACATCTGGATACAATACCCCTTTTCGCTCAGAATTTGGCAATGGTGGAGAAAGCATTGGAACAATTTTGCATCTGAAGCACTAGTCTGGTCTGACGAGTGGATTCAAACAGGGATCAGCCCCTCTATGACCAACTATGGTTGACGCTGGGGGTACGTTGGTCAGGTATCGCGAGGAATCATCATGAATGCCATCTGTCATCTGGCAATCCAGGAATAATGCGGTGTTCAAAGGAGAACTGCCAGGCAAGGGCCAGATGCAAGCTCAAATTAGGAAACATTTAAGGATCACCATCGTAGTGGATAGGAAGTGCAAGGGCCCATTATGGTTCCTCGAAACCTGGGGACACGATAGCAAACTCGCAACACTAAATGAGGAGCAAAAAACGGTTTTAAGCCCTTGGACGTGCAAGAAAATGTAACTTCGCAGGTTTCGGTATTCTTTTAAATATTCTTCAGATGGTCGTTCCTGATTTATTTGGCTGTAGGACAGCTGCCAGGAAGGCCAGGTATCTCTTAGTTTGGTAGGCCTAGCTTAGGAGACATCCATTGGCTGAGAAGCTTAGAAGGGCAGACGTGAATGCTATCTAGTTTCTTCGTGGGACGCTGGACCCGGTTTCCAGCCCTTTTGACAAAAGTTCAAGCGAAGCCGGGTAACGCTCCCGGTAAGGTTGAAGGACCTTTCCTGGGTAAACTGTAGGGACCCCAGCCCCGTTTGTTACCATCTGTTTTATAAGGGATGCTGGGCCCGGTTCCCAGCTTGTGCCGCTCCCCACAAATAGATCAGAGCATTGTTATATAAAAAAAAAGGAAAAAAAAAAAAAAAAAAAAGCCCTGCCAACAAGGCAGGGCAGTTCCTTCTCGTTTTTCTTTGAGCCTGTACCTGCCCTCAAAACACGCGCAGATGCAGTAAGGGAAACCAAAGAGGAAAGCGCAGAGAGAAGAGCAGGCGCCTGGTGAAGCAGGTGCCTGCCTAGTTTTCCTTGAGACTTTGCACCTCTTTCAATGGGCACCAGCTCGTCTTCTTTGGTCTGCCCCCATCTGGAGGCCAATCTTTTAAAAAAAGGCGATGGTCTTGAGATATCATCATTGAGCTGACCGGCCCCAGGAAATTCAGAAATATTTGGTCTTTACTCGTCAATCGAGTTCCATCATCCGGCTTCGAACACGGGTCTATATTTTAAACAGTTCATTGGTGTACCCACTGAGCTATGCTCTTGGGTAGTTCATTTTTATTTTCTATTTTGCCTCTTTGGATTTTCTCCTGTTTTCTTGTCTACGAAAGTGTTTCCACATGCACAGATGAACCAGGAAGAAAACAAGCAGTCCATTTGCCCCTTTTTGCACTACCGGCCTTCCCCGACCCTTGAAAGTTGCCCGTATGTACCCGCGTGTATTTGATTTTCAAGCAGGGAAACGTACTGGTGGTTAAACCACCAGTACTTGGCCCAGCGATCGATGCCGAGCCGGCCGACCTCCTGCGCGCTAAGTTTTCCCGAACCGCCGCGGCGTCGTTTCGACTTTGTTTCGGCTGGTGCTTCCAGCCATTGAGGTCTGGGGTCTGGTACCCCGAAGCCCGGAAGTTGCGGGCCGTTGATAACAACGGCCCGCGGCCGATGTATGGGCCAAGTACTGGTGGACAGTGGTGGTTTAAAATTGGAACAATACAAAGAAGATTAGCATGACCTCTGCTCAAGGATTACACGCATAAATCACAAAACGCTCCTCTGTTTTGCTGACCAACTGCCCAGAGAGGCGGGGGATATGGCAGCCCCCYTTAGTCGGCTTACATAGTAGGTGTGTGTGTGGCTAATTGATCATTTCACTTCACGTCAAAGGTCCACTAGCAAAGAGGGTTTTGGGCTAAGATTTTTTTTATTATTATTATTTTTTTTCCCAAAAGCCCAGGGTGTTGTAGAGGCCAAGGACCAGATCCGCGATGATTGCTAGTAGCGGCAGCCAATGGTTGTCCTGACAGGACAGGCCACCTACCCTACCCATCCCCACGTTAATACTCCCAGCGCACCCCCTGTCCCTACTATCCTACCTCAGTGTGACCAGCACTCAGGWCCATCACCCTACSAGTATCGAGGGCAACTTGGACCMGACAGCAGTGACAAGCACCAAGGCTGGGCCAACCTCCMAACCRTGATGGAAGCGGAAGCRGRCGAACCTTGYCGTACGGGAACTTCGGAYGCCAGGCTCATGCAATCTTCTACAGGCCCAATTCAGAGATTCTACCCAGCAGGATTACCTAAGCAAGGCAGGCCAGCGCCCGCGGACAC